TTTCTGCTAGTTTCTTTCAGAACAGTCTTATGCTCTTAATGTGAGCATCTGTGGCATGGTGATATGGTGCCAAAATAGATACAAATTCTGTCCATTGCTCCATTGTAGTTCAGGAAACCCACTGCTACAAATCCATCTTTCTCAGATAGTTGAGAGTCACGGTCCTGCTTGGCAGGAGATAATGGACTTACAGGCTGGCAAGGCAAGGATTTTCCAACTTCAAAATTATTTTCCACTAACTGGTAGCATTCTGTGGTTATAGGCTTCCAGAGTGATTGCCAATTGCTTCTCCTCTGTCAGTGAAACTCTCATTCTGATGTCCCTATGTAGAAGGGCTGTTTCAAGCTTCCCATATAGATCCAGGAATGTGGCCTTCCACATCCAAAAATTCTGAAGCTATTGCATGTCATCCCAAATCTGGTGGGATCGTATTGTAATACAATTTCTGCTTGTTTCTCAGAGCCAGAAGTAATACTCCACCATCTGCAGCTGCTCTTTAAATACTACCAACAATTTGAAATGGATCTTGCTGTGTACCCCAGCAATCTGTCCTCCACAGAATCATCATGCTGTCCTCTGATTTGGTGATTCTTGTGGCTCCACAAATACTGAATGATTGTGCACACTGTGTTTGCCAGTAGTGTAAAACTGTGCAGGCTCCATGTTTCTGTCGGTGAGGGTGAACAGTGAATTTGAGGGCTGGTGTGTTTTTTTTTTTTTTTTAAATAAAGGTGCAAAAATTATAGGATACAGATGTTATGAGATGGAGAAAGTTGCATACTGGGAAGTTGACTCCTTGCATCTAGACAGAAAAGTATAACTCATTTCTTTGCCTTCCCACTCCCCCCTTGCATTGTCAAAACTTCCCAAAAAAGTGCATGGGGCGATAATTGATTAATTGCATTCTTGATGTACCACTCTGTGTATTACCACAAGCATGGCTGCTGAGTACACGCAGCGCCAATAAAGGGAGCCAAGTATGCACAGGCGTAAGTGATATACTCACTGTGGCGGCATTATGCTTATGCAATTTGCGTTGATAAAGGTTTGCATTGTAGACATGCAATGAGAAGTGGTAGCTAGGTTGATGGAATAATTCTTCTTTCAGCGTTGCAGTGTCTACAGTGGGGCTCAGGTCAACCTGATTACATTACACAGTGTGAATTTTTTTTACTTCAGAACTTTCATTCATGCTTAAATTTGACACTTTACGAATGGGCCTTAAGAAAGATGCTAATTACCTTACACATTACAAAGATAGCTTCCCACTTATCACCCCTGATTAGCCATTCATTGTCTCATAAATAGCTATTCCCTCCCTCCCTCTCCCTCGCCCACCTTCTGTACTAAATCTGATTTGTCAGTTGAATAATGTGTTCACTTTTTTCATTGTATTTCTTTGGTATATATGGTCATGCCAATTCTCTTCCAGAATATGATCTGAGGAAATGGGTCTGGCCCACGAAAGCTCATCACCTATTAAACCATCTTGTTAGTGCTACATATCAGAGGGGTAGCCGTGTTAGTCTGAATCTGCAGAAGCGATGAGGAGTCCTGTGGCACCTTATAGACTAACTGAAGTGTAGGAGCATAAGCTTTCGTGGGCAAAGACCCACTTCGTCAGATGCATGTAGTGGAAATTTCCAGAGGCAGGAATAAATATGCAGGCCAGGATCAGGCTGGAGATGACCAGGTGGATCCAATCAAGGAGGATGAGGCCCACTTCTAGCAGCTGATCTGGAGGTGTGAATTCCAAGAGAATAGAAGCTGCTTTTGTAGTTAGCAAGCCATTCACAGTCTTTGTTTAATCCAGAGTTGATTGTGTCAAACTTAAAGATGAACTGTAGCTCAGCAGTTTCTCTTTGAAGTCTGGTCCTGAAGTTTTTTTGCTGCAGGATAGCTACTTTTAGATCTGCAATTGTGTGTCCAGGAAGATTGAAGTGTTCCCCTACAGGTTTTTGTATGTTGCCATTCCTAATATCAGATTTGTGTCCATTGATTCTTTTACGTAGGGACTGTCCTGTTTGGCCGATGTATATAGCAGTGGGGCATTGTTGGCACATGATGGCATATATTACGTTGGTGGATGTGCAGGAGAATGTACCAGTGACAGTATGGCTGATCTGGTTAGGTCCTGTGATGGTGTTGCTGGTGTATATATGTGGGCAGAGTTGGCACCGAGGTTTGTTGCAAGGATTGGTTCCTGAGTTCGAGTTATTATGGTGCGGTGTGTAGTTGCTGGTGAGAATATGCTTCAGGTTGGCGGGTTGTCTGTGGGCAAGGACCGGCCTACCTCCCAAGGCCTGTGAAAGCGAGGGATCATTGTCCAGGATGGGTTGAAGATCACTAATGATGCGTTGGAGAGGTTTTAGCTGGGGACTGTAGGTGATGGCCAGTGGTGTTCTGGAGATCTACATTACACACTTCACTTCTCTACAGAGGAAAAAGGACTGTAAGCTGTCTAAAATCCTACCTGCCACATGGGGCCACAACAATGGTACCCCTAACTCACCCAGCAATATCGTCAATCTCTCCAACTACACACTCAGCTCGGCAGAAGAATCTGTTCTATCTCGGGGACTCTCTTTTTGCCCCGCCACCCCCACTAACATGATACAGTTCTGCGGTGATCTGGAAGCCTACTTTCGCCGTCTCCGTCTCAAGGAATACTTCCAACACGACACTGAACAGTGCACTGACACACAGATACCTTCCCACCAACAGCACAAGAAGAAGAACTCCACATGGACTCCTCCTGAGGGCCGAAATGGCAGTCTGGACCTCTACATAGAATGCTTCCGCCGACGTGCACAGGCAGAAATTGTGGAAAAACAGCATCGCTTGCCTGGTAACCTCAGTCGTGCAGAACGCAATGCCATCCACAGCCTCCGGAACAACTCTGACATTATAATCAAAGAGGCTGACAAAGGAGGTGCTGTTGTCATCATGAACAGGCCTGACTACCTAAAGGAGGCTGCCAGACAACTCTCCAATACCAAATTCTACAGGCCACTTTCCTCAGATCCCACTAAGGAATATACTAAGAAACTGCACCATCTGCTCAGGACACTCCCCAAACAAACACAGGAACAAATCGACACACCTTTAGAGCCCCGACCAGGGTTGTTCTATCTATTACCCAAGATCCACAAACCTGGAAATCCCGGACGCCCCATCATCTCGGGCATTGGCACTCTTACTGAAGGACTGTCTGGCTATGTGGACTCTCTGCTCAGACCCTACGCCACCAGCACTCCCAGTTACCTTCGTGACACTACGGATTTCCTGAGAAAACTACAATGCATAGGTGATCTTCCAGAAAACACCATCCTAGCCACCATGGATGTAGAGGCTCTCTACACAAACATCCCACATGCAGATGGAGTACAAGCTGTCAGGAACAGTATTCCTGATGATGCCACAGCACAACTGGTGGCTGAACTCTGTGAATTTATCCTCACACACAACTATTTCAGATTTGGTGACAACATATACCTCCAGACCAGTGGCACTGCTATGGGCACCCGCATGGCCCCACAATACGCCAACATTTTTATGGCTGACCTGGAACAACGCTTCCTCAGCTCTCGTCCACTTACACCCCTTCTCTACCTACGCTACATCGATGACATCTTCATCATCTGGACCCATGGGAAGGAGACTCTGGAAGAATTTCACCATGATTTCAACAGCTTCCACCCCACCATCAACCTCAGCATGGACCAATCTACACGGGAGGTCCATTTCCTGGACACCACGATACAAATAAGTGACGGTCATATCAATACCACCCTATACAGAAAACCTACCGACCGCTATACTTACCTGCATGCCTCCAGTTTCCATCCCGGACACACCACACGATCCATTGTTTACAGCCAAGCACTGAGGTACAACCGCATATGCTCCAACCCCTCAGACAGAGACCTACACCTACAAGACCTTCAACAAGCATTCTGTAAACTGCGATACCCACACGAGGAAGTGAGGAGACAGATTGACAGAGCCAGACGTGTACCCAGAAGCCTCCTGCTACGGGACAAGCCCAAGAAAGAAACCAACAGAACACCACTGGCCATCACCTACAGTCCCCAGCTAAAACCTCTCCAACGCATCATTAGTGATCTTCAGCCCATCCTGGACAATGACCCCTCGCTCTCACAGGCCTTGGGAGGTAGGCCGGTCCTTGCCCACAGACAACCCGCCAACCTGAAGCATATTCTCACCAGCAACTACACACCGCACCATAATAACTCGAACTCAGGAACCAATCCTTGCAACAAACCTCGGTGCCAACTCTGCCCACATATATACACCAGCAACACCATCACAGGACCTAACCAGATCAGCCATACTGTCACTGGTACATTCTCCTTAGCGAGCCATTCACAGTCTTTGTTTAATCCAGAGTTGATTGTGTCAAACTTAAAGATGAACTGTAGCTCAGCAGTTTCTCTTTGAAGTCTGGTCCTGAAGTTTTTTTGCTGCAGGATGGCTACTTTTAGATCTGCAATTGTGTGTCCAGGAAGATTGAAGTGTTCCCCTACAGGTTTTTGTATGTTGCCATTCCTAATATCAGATTTGTGTCCATTGATTCTTTTACGTAGGGACTGTCCTGTTTGGCCGATGTATATAGCAGTGGGGCATTGTTGGCACATGATGACAAAAGCAGCTTCTATTCTCTTGGAATTCACACCTCCAGATCAGCTGCTAGAAGTGGGCCTCATCCTCCTTGATTGGATCCACCTGGTCATCTCCAGCCTGATCCTGGCCTGCATATTTATTCCTGCCTCTGGAAATTTCCACTACATGCATCTGACGAAGTGGGTCTTTGCCCACGAAAGCTTATGCTCCTACACTTCAGTTAGTCTATAAGGTGCCACAGGACTCCTCATCGCTTAGTGCTACATAGTTTTTCCTTTTGTTTTAGCAAGATCAGACTAACACAGCTACCTCTCTGTTACTGTTTAACTGTAGTGTAGACCAGCTCTGTGACTCTAGATGTTGTTTGTGTTGTGAAGGTGGATGTCAGCTGAAAGTTTGGCAATACTGTACTCAATACTAACTCACCTCAGCATTTTTAAGTGTTTGAGAGCAGGGAAGTATTGTACTCTGCCTGACTTGTAAGACTTGGCAGGCAAACCTATCTCTTTATTCTGAGAGGTTTCCACTGCAGCTACTATGGTTCCTGCAGCTACCAGGAACTAGGTAATATCCATTCATTTCATTTCACAGAGATTAGGAAACATCAGTTTTGTAGAAGTGCATGAGTGCTACTGATCTGGGCTGGCTTTGTTTATTTAGCAAGTTCTAGGTACCTGTACAATTATCTTAAACATTCCCCCAGTAAAAAAAACTCAAGTCGAAATATCCTTACCATACATGATTTTTGCTTCCAGGCCTCTTCATGTAGCCTGCTTAGTTGCATGAGAAGCCTGTATGACACTTAATAGCTTGCCATATGTATCACCATACCCCAACTTCCTCAAAAGTGCCCGTCCCAGAAAGGCCCAAGTAAAAATGAGCATTGTAGTGCTTCCTAAAGGCTGTTAAATCTGGGCTGTGTAGGATGAAGATGAAGGAAGAGTTCTAAAATTGAAAATCATTCTTGGAAAATGACCTGTCAGCATCTCTCTCCCTTTGTAACCAAGGCACTGTCATCTTGAGCAACTCTGCTGATTGCAAGGAGAGGAGAAAGGGTTTTCAGGCAGTCCAGTGAAAGACTGTATCCTGTCATCAGTTCTCTGAGGCATCCAGTCCATCAAGCCAACGTGTGTACTTTTTGTCCCCTTGAGTACCAATACATTTTTTGTGTTATTAGCATACTCAGTTATCATAGTAACTACATACTTTAAAATATAAATGCCTTTTTAGTCTATTTGTGTTATAGATGAGAATATGGTATTAGAATTTAGCTGTGTGCAGCCAGATGGCTTATAGTGTTGCTAAGGAAAACAGACTATAAATGTAGTGGTAGCTGAATGTCCCCAGAATTATCAGGCAGTTTGAAGCCAGTATTTTAACCCATGTAGGCAGGTAAACAAATACATACAATTATGAAATATTAATTTCCTGGGTTTATACTTCATTAATTTTATTGCTTATTTTATATTTACTAAAGGTGCATCAATTTCTTACTGTGCCTTCCAAGGTACATGGGGTATTTCACTATGGCTTACAATTAAATGGTAAAATTAACATTAAGAAATGACAATAAAATATCTACCATAAAAGGAATCTGCAAAATTATTGTTTGATGGATGGGTAAAGATATAAAAACCCAAAAGCAGTAGTTCTATGGAAAAATTCCTTTGTGGGCAGAGAAGAATTGAATATACTTAGTGTGGAAGAAGTAGAGCTACCAAAGAGGAGGATAGAGAGAGAGATATGGCTGTATTACAATTTGTCACTGTTTGGCCTTTGTAACAGCCTGTCAAACTGCCCGCCAGACAGCCCTTCCAGAAAAGGAGTTTGACAACTTGTTGAAGGATTATCATTGAGAAGGTAAGAAGTCTGCAAGTTCAGGCCATACACTTTGACTCTCATATATTGGCCTACCACTATATAGTAGATTTTTTTTTTTTAAACATATTGGTGTATATGACTGGGAGGCGGAGGGGGAGGAAGAGGCGGAGGGTGTGTGTGTCCTTAAGGTATGCTGCTGTATCATTACACATCCAGAGGACTTGCTGGAGAGGGAGAAGGCATAAGTGACACTGACAAATTCTCATCAAATAAAGATTCTGAAAAAATGTCCTTTGGAAACATTTAAATGTTTTGTTTCAATATGCTAAAATGTTTTCTTTTGATAACCTCAATACATCATTGTATTATTTATATTTATATATTGGGTTAAAATAAAACTGGTTGAAAAGTAGTGCTTTTACTTTATCAAAGTGAAACATTTTGACACACAAAATGAGTCTAAATGAACGGTTTTGACAAACATGGAGAAAGTCAAAGCAAATCCTTTCTACTTTCTTTCATGATAACTTTTTGTGGTAATGTGTCATTTTTAAAAGGTCTTTATTTGACAACTTTTTTCAATGGAAAACCATTTGCAATTAACATTTTTTTTTAAAAATAGGTTTTAACATAAATTGAGTTTTAAACAGATTAGACCACTCTCCCAGTTGCTCAAAATATGAGGTGTTCGCTCTCTAGTTTTGTATGATGTCATTTCACTTGTTTCCCCAGTTGTCCCAGGCCATACATTTTAAGTAAACAACAGAATTTTTGAGTAAAACTTGTCATTTTCAGCCAGATATCTCAGCAGACCTTGAGCACCACAATTTGACACCATTTATTGCTTTACCGTCATTGCTGTATTTAATTGTAACAGATACAATAAGTCAATAGATTCTAGAAATTATATCTGTAGAATCAGATGTTAAAATCAAAACCAAATGAGCTTCTCCTTAACTCATTTTAATATTGGCAGCATGAGTTAACTGAAATACCTTTAAGCTGTAATGGTCTTGCATTACTAAAGTGTAAGAAAACACGAGTTAATGTATAACTGCTTCCAGTTATGGATTCCTGACCTTTCCAGACTTTTAATTAATATTACAGAAAGAATTCTGAATATTCTTTTGATTTCATTTGTGTAAGAGTCAGTGGAGATGTGGTAGGATAATTGAGAAAGTTTGGGACCCTCCAGGTTGTTTCCTTTTAGGAGGAGAAATTGCTGATGAAGTCTGCTATTTGATAGAATTCTGTTTGTTTATGGATTGTACAAAGAACCATCCCTCTGAACTCTGGAGATAACAAATGAGATTGTGCACATAAACTGTTTGAAGCTCCCTTTCAGCCAAAATTCAACCCAAAAGCTCTTTCTCTAAACTTTTGCCAGTACCACACATTCAGTGCTGATGACTGGTGTTGTATGCTGCCTTCTCTCTCGTCGTCTTTGAAGTTTCTCTCCTGCTTCTTTTAGGCTATGTCCACACTGACAAATGTAGAGTACTGGCAGTTACAGCACTGCTCAAAAAGCGCTAAGGGAAACTGTTGTTGTGTGTCCACATTATGTTCCTTATGACAGTGGAATGCATCCACATTAGCAGTTCTTGCAATGTCGTACAGAGCAATGCATTATGGTAGCTATCCCACAGTGCAACTGGCCATGGGGTGCTTTGGAAAGGGCAGTCAGTATCACATGATGCAAGTTTGCCGATCATATTGCTCCATAGTCATCCTACTTCATTGACAGCTGCTTTCCAACTGAAGTCCAGAGGGAGGGGGAAGAGTGAATGTGTGTCCATCCTGAGGAAACCCCAACATCAGCTCTCCCCTGCCTCTCTCCCCGGCACTCTGCACAGCATCTCTCTCACTCACAGACACAGATACCTCTTGTGTTCAACAGCACAAGCATTCCAACTGAATGGTTTGCTCTGTGTCTGGGAACAGATCAGCGCAGCATGCAGGTTTTCTGAAAGAGGATATGCCCAGTGTAGGACAGTCAGCTGAGTTCAAAACAATGACCATGAGAGAGCTTATGATACCATCTACATGGTTGGTTAGTCTCTAAGTGCTGCAAGACTATTTGTTGTTTTTTAAGTTTTTCCAGAGTGGCCGCTGTAAGCCACCATATTCCATTTCCAGAGGCCAGTCACAACTCAATTGAAGTGTCTACACTGTCACCCAGTGCTGTATCCAGAGTGCAGAAAGTGGTAAGCGTCTTAGTCCAGGTGGTTTACCAAAGTTCGTGCACAGTAAGTATCTTGCCATTGTGGACACTCTGGGAGTTACAGCGCTGGGAGCTGACTTACTGGGCTGTAACTTGCCAATGTAGACTTGGCCTTACACACACAGACTTCCACTACAAACAGTATCCAGCCAGGCAATGGCACCTCTTCCTATAATTCAAACCCCTGAGCAGCTGCCCTTTGCCTTGGTTTGGAGTGGTGAAATGTATCCGAATTTGTGGTGGAAGCCACTAGTTGTGTTTCTTATAGCTATGTTAAATGAAAGAGTGACAGTTATGCCTATTGGTTTCAGCACATTTTGCCCACTCCACAGTAATATATTAAATATATTGGTAGAATTTATCATAGCAGAACAGCAGCTTTCTGTCGTTAAGGTTAAGACCAGCTTTCTGTTTAAAGCTATACTCTTAAGTGCTCCAGAAAGTACATAGTTACTGTGTTTTGTAAGAAAAAAAGCTTATTTTTATTCACTGAGAGAAATTAAACCATAGTTCAGATCATCACACCAACATTTCAGATTATCAAGGCTTCCCCAAAACAGAACCCACCACACTTTGGGGGAAATCAAATTAATATGTTATTTTCAAAAACAGCTAACTTCTCCTCTTAAGTACTTGAGAAGGCTATTACTCCTATTTGCATGTCTAGTAAAATGTGTTCAGAACCAGAGCGTCCCAGCTAGTTAGCCTGTTTGTGTCACAGGATTTCTGTGGCTGAGAGGATCTTTTATTCTTTAAAACTAAGTTTCAGCCTAGGCACTGAGAGTTCCAGTATCACCCAGGCAGGAAATCTGGAGTAGATTGGCTTTTTTTTAAAAGCAGATATATTGCTCTAAAATGTCTTGTCAAAAGGGGATTTTTTTATTTTTGAGGAAATGTAATCTGGATACAGCACAATATTTAGAAAGCACTGAGACTATTTTGAGAAGAAAATAAACTATGCAAGCTTACTGGGAAGGTAGGGTGATTTGGGGTGGAAAGGGATTAGGAATCAGGTGATGGGAGGGGATGTGGAGTGGGGAAGTGGGAGGGGAGCAGTGGAACACTGGGAATGGTGCTGGGGGCAAGTGAGGGGAAGAATGGGGCAGAAATTCCTGTCAGCCCCATATTACTCTTCTGAGTGTGCTCTGATGTGGGGTCATCAGCCCGTCTATGGGGATGTGAAGGCAAAGACTTTTCAAGACTCCTTGAACAACATAACTTTAAGACCCCACCCACTGTGTATTGGGGAAATTTCTGACAGGCAAATAGAAATGCTCTTTAACTGTCCTCCTATGCCCCTTGGTGTGGACACACTTATTGGGAATTATTCCTCTGATTCATTTTAGTGCCTTTTTTTAACTTGCTGTCTTGAGAGAATTATTCTTCTTAGTTAGTTTGAAAAGTGAAACATGTCCACAAATTATTCAAGCAATTAAATAGCTTAACTTAATAGGCACCTATAGCTTTTATTTAGAGTCTACTTTTTTGCATTAAGACGAATAGGTTAATGTTCCATCATGATTCTGACTTTGTAGACTATCCTAGGTTAATTTAGCAAATTAAGCATAAAGTAATTATTGTTGGAATTCAAGTGAACAATAATGACTTGGGAGAGTATTTTATATTTTTGTACTTAAAAAAAGAAATGCTATATATTTCATACAAAACAAGTAACAAACTGTATATTTTAAATTACCCCTTTTTATTCCGAAGGATTCTGTGATACTTTCTAGTCTGCAGGCTGCACTCTTCTATCACTGAAACAGTTAGCAATGCTACTTGGCTAGCCACAATCACCCAAACACTTTCTTGACCCAAACGCTATAGGGCTTGAAATATTAACAAAGGGCAAGAATGCTAATATCTGTTTCCTTGGAATATGGGTTGGGTAAAAGTCCTGGGAAGCAGCAGAATTTTGTCTCTAGTGATGGTTACAGCAAGAATGATAATGGCATGGTTCTGTAGCGTTCCTTTCCAACCTATGCACTGACAAGCCAGGACACTATTGTCATGTTAAAGCTATAGCCTAGGAAACAGGGACCCTGAAATAAAGAATGAATAGTCAACAAAAAATGGACGTAACTCAACAGGAAAGTGTATAAATAAATGATAAAACTGGAAAAAACCAGGAAAAGGTTTAAAACAAAATAAAAATAAAAAAGGCAGTAGGAGAAAAATCAGTTAAACAATGGGCAAAGATTAAAATTAGAAAATGGGTAAAAGTCATCACCATGGTGACAAAAACATCTGAGTCCTGTTAACGCTGTTGTTGTCTCGGGTGGGTCATTGTGGCTGCAGTTTGCTAGTACAGATACTGCCAAAAGGCTTTTGTGAACCCTCTGTGCCACAGGTAGCAGGCTCAGTCATTCACTAGACACCAGGTGACCAACATATCCAGCCTACAATTTGAAAATAATACAAAATTGTAATGCTTTTTTTTTAGTCATTCTAATTCCCCCCCTACATCCTTCCCAAATCACAATTCTTACTCTTTCACAGCCAGGCAAGTATCTATGAAAGCAAAAATGAGATACGTGTACATGTTTGGCCTAGCTCTGTCAATAATGAAAGTTAAGACATATCAATAGTGGCTTGTATTGTCACAAAAATGACAAACAGGTGTGCATGTTAAGTTTCATTCACAAATAGCTGCTAACAATTTGTTAAACTATTAATGACTAAGGAGTAAATCCTGCCAGCTCCCTGTTTTTTGGCAGCAGCGTAGGTACACTTCCAGGATGCAAATGTGTAAAAGTATGAGGGGAGCCACTGAAGAAATACGCCTCTTTCCTTCCATAGAAGCTGGGTCAGTAGATTC